TTTCGTTGACATTTGATGGTTGGACAGATCGTCGTATGAGAGCTTTTTACGCCATTACAATGCATTATATCGATCATATGGGTCAGTTAAAAGCACACTTACTCGCTTTTAATCCTCTTTCTGGTAAGATTTCTTATTTGATTTATATTAACATTAAAGTAGTTTCTTATGAAATCACACAGAGGCTTATGATAAATGTTTCCTTTATCTTTTTGTTCATTCAAAAATGAGCAAGATAAAAATATCATGAGCTCAAATTTGAATAAATAAATATTTCATACAATATTAATAACGAACCTCATTCTTTTGTGTATTCCAAAGATGTTTTCGAATTAAAAAATATTTTATAATTAGAATTCTTGTTATATTTTAAGAAAGCAAGTGATATATCTTCAAACACATTCCACAAATCATTTTATATACAAGATAAAGAAGAATGAATCTAGAGATAGAGAGATGAGAAAGAGAAGAGAGAAACAGAAGAGAAAGTAAGGACAAATGAAAGGTCATGTGAGGGCATGTCCTTAGTTTGAATACTATATACATTGATTTAAGAAAACAAAACGAGTGTGAATTTTTTTTTTTCTGATAGCTTGTGTTTTATACACAAAACGACTGCATAAGAGAAAAGAAAGTAACCATTTGTTTTGTAAAAGAAAAAATAAACGATCTATTATGTGTCTACTCGTGCGTAGACAGCATATAAGAATCAGAAAGTAAAATAGAATATGAAGACAAGAAAAAAAAGAAATTAGAGTCATCCTAGTGGACACAACTATATCCAACAAAAATTAAAAAAATAAAATAGACAGTAATCTCTTTTATTTGAATGAGAAAAATCACTCGTTTGTGAATTCGACTACGAATAATGATCTGTTTCATACATAAATTAATAAAATATTGTAGGTAATCACACTGGTGAAAATTTGTTTATGGAATATGATCGTGTTTCAACAGCATTTTCAATTGGAAATAAAGTTGTTAGACTTATAACAGACAATGCCTCAAATAACTTATCTGCTTTTGGTGAATTAGTCATGCCAGGGTTTGAGTCATATTTCATAACTGAAGATGATACAGAAGGAAGTGATGATAATGATGATCAAAATGAAATAAATTTGAATGTGTCTGAAGGACATCCTCCTGATGATGATGAAGGTCAAAATGAATTTGACAAACGAGAGGAGCTATTAAGGTTGCCATGTTTCATTCACACACTACAACTTGTAGTCAAAGATGGCTTAAATGAAAGCGCATGCACTCGGTCTGCAATGGCAAAAGTGGCCGAGATTGCAAAATTAAGCCACAAAAGTATTCCAGTAGCCGAAAAGCTACAGGAGTTTAAACTTAGTATTCCATTAGCTATCATAACTAGATGGAATTCACAGTTTATTACAGTTTCAAAAATTATTGATATACCTAGTATATTTCTAAATGACCTTCTGACAGAACAAAGAAAACCTGAATTAGTACTGTCAATGAAAGATTTAGCTGTATTACGTGAATTTATATCAATTTTCACGTTACTCGTCGAAACTACAAATCGAACACAAGCTGAACAATGTGTATCTATATCACTTGTGGCACCAAGTGTACTTGGAATTTATTATGATTTAGAAAATGAATTAAAATTATGCAAATACATAAGTTCATTATGTAATGCACTTATTATTTCATTAAAAGAAAGATTTGGTGGACTTCTTCTTAATCTTGGAATACCTGTCGATGATCACATAAAACGTCGAAGTACATTCCACCTGTTTTCGGACGACATATTCCTTATTTCTTCTTTTTTTGGATGGACAGTTTCGACTTCGTTGGATATTACAATCTCCTTTATCTCAAGATATAAAGTAAGTACCACAATCATTCTTAAATATTTTATAAGCTTTCAGCCTTTTTTTTATCATCTTTCCTCCTTTATTGGTTGATAAAATTTATAAAAAATATATAAAATCTCTAGAATACATTAGAAATAAAAAGTTCGTATATTTATTGTTTTAGAAATCGTTTGTGTGATAAGATAAAACGTATTGTTGCACAAGCAGCTTTTCAAGTTTATGATTCTGTTAGCAATGTTCAAACTGCTGATGGTGCACAACCAGAAACAACATCAACAGCTATTGATAACAGTCAATCTGGTGGAAAAAACTCGTATGACAACAGTCTTACACCAAAAAGAAAAAGTCTTTTCGCTTATTATGAAACATCACCAATGCCTCCAAAAAAAATGCGTATTAATATTATGGATGAAATAAATGAAGAAATAATGTTATTTTTGAAAGATCAACGTTATGAAACTGATCTTATTTTTATGAAAAAAGAATCATTTTCCATATTTACATCGTTTAGCATTGAAAGTGTT